CATCCATCCATCCCGACATCCATCCATCCATCCATCCATCCATCCATCCCGACATCCATCCATCCCGACATCCATCCATCCATCCATCCATCCATCCATCCCGACATCCATCCATCCCGACATCCATCCATCCATCCATCCATCCATCCATCCCGACATCCATCCATCCATCCATCCATCCATCCATCCGTCCATTCATCCATTCCGACATCCATCCATCCCGACATCCATCCATCCCGACATCCATCCATCCATCCATCCATCCATCCAGCCATCCATCCATCCATCCTTCCATCCCGACATCCATCCATCCCGACATCCATCCATTCATCCATCCATCCATCCATTCCGACATCCATCCATCCCGACATCCATCCATCCCGACATCCATCCATCCCGACATCCATCCATTCCGACATCCCAATATCTCGACATCCATAATCATAGACAGATCGATTTTGATAGTCGATATTATTCTTTTTCAGTTCTCGATATATTCAGCTGTATTGTGTTCTCCGATCAATCGACTGATCACCCCAGTAGTGGTTACGGATACGACAGCGTGAGAAATTATGTGCCATCAGAAATGCAATAAGCACGCATTCAAAGTGTACTTTCACTCGCCTAATCAGACCGCATTGTACTTCTGATTGAAAGAAGAAAAATAAAACGATCGTCACGTGACTACAAACGAGTTAGCCATCCAACTGTACACGTGTCGTAAGAGAAAACAAAATCGCCAAAGAACGCATACACTATTTGAATTCTAGCAAGTCAGATTTTAGGGTTCCGCTACGTTCTCAACAGATCAGACTAATCGAGCACAATTGGATAGCACGACACAAAAGCTGCTTTTGCGTATTACAGAGAGAGAGAGAGTGCGTGAAACCACACGCGTGAGAATTCATGGAACCGGAATCTGTTCTATTCTATTCTATTCTATTCAGATGTTTGTGCGCGTTTTGTGTCCGTTTAAACTGCTTCGACTGGTTACAGAATTCTTCTTTCCTTCCGATATGACAGCTAGACAGCCTGAACGGCGTCCGGGAGTTTTGACCGATATGCCAGCCCGATCCATGCGAGAACAGCACCGATTGATGATCAAATCTATCAAATGATGAACACCGGTAGATTCGTCACACGACCTGACACTCGCTGCTCTGTAGCTCGAAGTTTTCTTCCTAAGACAAATCAGTGTTTGAAATCAGTCTCTTTGACCACGAGTGCCGAAGAACACGAATTCCTAGACGGGCTTCAAAGAGATTAACAAACGAATTGTGGTCAGTTTAACGTGATCCTTTCATTCCCCAAAACGAATATGTATAGGTAAACGAAGGGACGCAAGGGCGAGTGAGTGATTCGAGGAGTGGGGATTGTTAGTCCGTTCGTTCCAGATTCAGGCTTAGTGATTTTCAAGCAACTCCATGTATTTAGAGCCCTCAATCCCCGTACAATAAATCTCGTCCTTCTTTTCTGGTCCACATTACAAATGTCAACTATCTTACCACCAATTCAATTCCGTGTCCTGTACACGAACACATGTGCTGTTGTTATTGGTCGTGTGTGTGTGTGTGTGTGTGTGTGTTAAACGCGGAACGGATAGGATTGAATTCGGCTGTGTGTGTGTGCGGGTGTTGTTATTGTTGTTGTGCAAATGGTGCTCGATTTTCGATTTTGGAGATATTTTCCAACGCCTGTATCCACAGAAAACTTCTGGGCCACTCTTCATAAGGTGTTAACATTCACGGCACTGGTCACTGGAGGCGGTGGTGGGAGGGCGGGGGCGGGATGGGGAGAACTCCGTCTTCCCAACACAGCTAGCTCAAATGTTGGTATAAGTTGGAACGGTGCGTGTTTTGGCACCTCAGAAACACTTACATTCTACATCGATGTGCGCGTCCGAAATAGTCACTTGACGCGCGGTACTGGGGTGGTTATCATTTTTGTCGATCCACTGGATACAAGAACACCATCATCATCAGCATCATCATCATCATCAGCATCGTCATTCGTTGTTTCGTACGCAAGCATGCATGCACGCATGCATGCACACAGCCACACGAACCGGCAAACAATTCGGTCGTCTGTACGAAGCACCGCAGGGGGTAAAACGCACNGTAACGCACTCCTGCCACCACAGCCGGCAGACAGATAGCCAGTATTACATCAACGGTTGTAGCAGCTGATGCGTTACTGTCCTGCACAAATGCGAATCCTCACGCACGCGCACACAAACAACGAATTCGAACGCTTCCGAATCTTATCCGGTACGCGTTCCTCAATCCTCGGTGTTAGGCGTCAG